TGCTAAATGCTCAAACCGTTTACTGACGAGTTTTCAGACAACCTCGGATGTTTTTAGCGACACAAATTTTCTTTAAACAAATCTTCACGACTACATTCATCTTGTAGTCATTCAAGTATTGCCACCTGAGAACAACCAAGTCTGCGAAATGTTTACGGACGAGTTTTTTTAAAAAGTATGGGAATGCAGTTAAATTTGGGAATGTTTTTAGTTACCCGTTCGTCTGGAATGAGAAAAGTCGACGATTACAGTTTTCCCAGAAACTTTCTGCAAATGCATACATGGCTTTAATTGTTTTCGTCACTGTTACGATTTTCCTGGTTTGCCAAACTATTAAATACAAAATTCTCGGGGACACGGCCAAGCTCAATTTCTTGTTGCTCTGCGTCTATAACATTATTGGTGGAGATCTTGCTCTACTTGTTTTAGCGATTAAGGGTCAAGACCTTGCATGCTTATGGAATTCTGTATTTCTGTATGGAGTTAAGTTCAATGGTATGTGTCTCAAATTTTATAACGTAAGGGTCAATGAAGTTGCAACAATGTAAGCTATTCTAAGCGACACCTGGATGTCTATTGAGTTATTTCAAAAAATGGAGCCAAAAATATTGACTCACATGGCACTGTATGTTTCCGATGAATGGTCGCTTTGAAGAAAAAGTTATGGGGGGGCAATGTTGAGGTTTGATTTACGGCCGGTGGAGTAAAAGGAGAAGAAATATTTACTTAAAAATCTACCCATTTATAAAAGGGCTTTTCTATGAAAATACGAGTATAAGTGTCGTATGAATATGATTTGAAATTTTTGGTTAGATTTTTTATATAACTCGGTAGAAATTTCCGGTGTAGCTTGAGAAAAGATTCCATTGTAAGAGTGGACAGATTGGATACCCCCTCCCCAATACCTTTTACTCCTAACCCCTTCGCTGAAACTACTCTTGATGTCGATATAAATATATATTTTCAGCGAGATGGTGGTCACACCCAAACTCCGGGGCTGTCGTTGATTTCAACAAGAAATGGATTCCGATGGCCAATTTAGTAGACTACATGCAGGACCTGATCCCCTTTAGTCTACTTCTACACATGTACTTCTTACCTAGACACCCTCTCCACTTCCCCAACATATTTCCACCAGATATATTCGTGTACCGTGTTGTTTATGCTATTTACGCTCCTTCCTTCGCCTATTCGGTTTTCCATTGGGGAAGCCTTATTAAAACTACGGTTTTCGGTTTTTCTGCCCTAACCATATTCCTGCTCCCCCTGCTAAAACAAGAGCTACGTTGTCACCGTGGCAAATCGGGTAGCAAAATGTCTAAGAGACAGTACCGCTGTACCCCAGAATTCACAAAGGATGTGGGAAACGTGGCAATCACTTATCGAGCTTTACAGTTGATTATGAGACAATTGGCGTTCGCGTGTGGACCTGTAATTCCCATTTTACAAGCGATATTCGGGCAGTGTATAATCTCTGCAGGATATATTTTTATCGTGGAATGGGAGTGTTTGAAAATGTACACACTTGTTAGCATCATAAGCACTGTGAAATTACTTACTATTTGCTGGGGATTATTCCTAACATATGCTGCGACATTGTATAAAAATTCTGCGAGATGTGTGAAGTCATGGAAGTACGGAAATGGCGCGTGGAGTGGAGTAGAGGCAAAGTACATGGCGAAATTTAGGAAAAGCTGTAAACCCTTGGTTATTGGGTATCCTGGAATTCTGACAATTAGGCCTGGAACGGTGATAAGGTTTGTTAAAGGTATTGTGCGTGGAGTGTTTAGGACGGTGTTGGCTTTGAAGGGTTGAGATGGTCATTAAAAATAAATACTAATTGAAGGGCTAGGACATACACATTTTAGATTTAGATTTCTCTCTAGATTTTTTTAGAAATACTGATTACATAATTATTAGGAACAACTTTGGTCGAACCCTTTTGCGACTAACATTCCTGGGGTAAATTGCGCGTTTGTCGTTAGTCCACCCTTTTGTTACCCAGGTAATGAATACAACCAGTGCCATGCTTGATGTCGTTGAGGCACATTTTCAGAATTCGACAAACCTCAATGTTTCCTTTAAACTACCGGGGGAATTGCGGAATGTAAATTTGGTACGCTTGTTTTTATTTGATCAGCAAAGTTCATATGCTATTAATCTCCTCTCCCTGACTTCACAATATTATTTTTCCCACGATGTACCCATATGCCTTAATGTTTGTAATGATTGGGACATAGGATCATAGTCAATTGTAATGTGTGAAATATAAGTTTTGTATATGCCAATAAATGTCATGCGAGTTATATATAAAATCTCTTGGCATACCACACGCACGTTGTATAAATTTTATTTGCAAAATCAATCATTTTGCATATTTAGAAACTTGCTTCGACTTCAAATTCTTATGTCTGACTGGTGTACATATTAAATAGTTATTTGCACATGTGTGTATGTAGCTCTAATTTGATTAATGATTTAAAAAAACACTGGAATAATATTGTTATTCCGGACAACATGATTTAATTTGAGCATCATCTCCTGTGACGTGACCGGTGGGGGGGGGGGGGTAGCGAAATTATCACCACCGGTCACCAGGGGGGGTAGGGGGTCAGAATTGTCCAAAAATCGATCACGTGATTTATGGACGGTCCCTATTGAAATATATAAGTAGAACGTTTACCAAATGTTTTGACGTACCTATCTAATAAGCACATCGTCAATGTTTTTAAAATTACGTCGTACTTTCATATTTTGTTAGTTAATTAGATAAATTGATCGATCTGTAATAATATGGTGGTACTCTTAAGGAAAATTTCCGAGAATTCAGTAAAAGCGTTGTGGTTAAACTTATTTATTTATTTAGGGCTAAGTTCGTACATCAGTCATCACATTAAAAAGAGCCAATCCATGAGAACAGCAGTTGGGTTGATGCGGTGGTTGTTCATAATCGCGAGTGTTTAATTAACTAATCGACGTGCTCTTATACATAATTATTATCTTGTTTACGATCAATGCTTGGGTTTGCTTACGAGATGATTATTTTCACCCAGCTCATTATTCCTTATTATGTCGACGGGGCAATCTTAAAGCACAACCTCTATATCAACTAGACTATCGGTTTGTACGAAGTTGATTGTATATGAATACACTTATTTTCATTACCGTTCTACATAAGTTCTTCAGTTGTCTCTGGCTCTTGGTAACACAATCTTGCCGTAGTTACGATGTACCACATCGACTATCTACCGCTTCTCAAGCTGCATCTTAGAGTGTGCAAATTCATAAAATGCCTTCCGTTCGAATATGACGAGAAATCAGGTCTCGTGATTAGAACACAAAATTCGAGGCAAGTTATCACGTTCAAAATCCAAAGCATCTTCTCCCTGCTTTATTCTTTCGCAACAATTCTACACGTCTGCATTGGCCGGTTAACTTTAACCGAACGATTCCTGGGATCACTATTCCTGATTTTGGACATACTGCTGACAACTACTCGATGGAACTACTCACTGGATAAATCGCCAGGACAGATTGTCAACTCCTTTCTCCAGTTTGAAAAACAAATTCTGGAAGGTTCCAAACAATTATTTCGCATTTTCATAATGACAATCTGCTATTCCGCGATCTGGTTTTCTGATATTTTGGGCACACATTCATTTTAAACTGTTTATCTCCTAAAACTGATCTTCAAATTTGTACAAAATATCATCATGGCCTTCATAATACATATTTTGTTCCTTTTATGTTTTGATGTGAACAGTTTAAAATTAGTTTCGTCAAAATAAAATATTACAAAATTACACATGTATGTACTAATGCTCAGCTTAAATAATTCCTTTCTACTTTGCTAGATCTTCCAACTGCACCATCCTCTCTGGGAACTAAGTTAATGAAAATATTCATTCCTGTCGCAACATTGTCGCTAACGGGAATCGCAATATTTGAATTCCTTCTCTTGTTGTTCGCCCCATGTACGCCTCCCTTCCTCCTCTCAATGTTTCCAACCTGCAGACAATATTACGCTAACGGCTACCTGGTACAGTGTGGAATAAGGCTGTTTGAATCGTGGATGCAATGGCATATGCTTCTATCTGGGGGAACCTGGGTTATCTATATTCTCTTTGTCGGTATCGTCTGCCTCCTGACCTACTTCCGCGTCCTGCACAGGTCAGGTAATTATTGTAGAGATCGGCATGATCGCTCGATGAATGGTATACACATTTTACGACCAATTTTTATACGGTCAGATGGATGAGTATTTCGCCCATGTCCAGTAAGCGAAACAAATTTGTTGCGGTCATAAGTCAGTAGTGCATGATACGCCGATCTTTGTACTTTGGTAGATGCCGTAAGTCTTTACTCTAACCGAGTATTTTGTATTCTAGTCAAATTGCTCAGATAAAAAAGGATCAAGATATGGATACCTGTATTCGTCTATACCGGTCCATTCAAATTTTGGAGAAATCATTCAACGACTTCCTCATGGTCATGATCGTACCGGCAATGATGATATGTTCCCCGGGAATTCAATTGATCGTGCAGTACGTATGTATCAACCACCACAAGGATATCGCTATGCCAGGGTTTTTGGTATTTCCTACACTTGGTTTGGACGCTGGGATAAATAATGTGCTAGTTTTCACGCTAGCGTCTCATATTAACATCGGGTCGGAAAAAGCCCTCCAAGGAATGAAGGAGAAGGTGATGGGGTTGGAAAAGCGAAAGTTAATGAAAAGGCAGATCCGAGCTTGTTCCGTGTTGAAGGTGAAGTTTGGGTCGAATTTCATCGATCGAGGTACCCCGTTAGTAATTCAGAACTTTTGCGTGAATCAGACAGTTGCCTTGACTTTAATTAAGTCGAGGCATGTAGCCCGTTAAGATATGGATGAGATGGTGAATAGAAAATAGGTATGTAGTTATGGAACTTATATGCTGTTTGGAGTAATGGTAGGTTTAGACAATATCATAATCTAATAATAGTAGTGAAAATGAAATGATTAGTGTCCATTACAAGAATAAAAATAGTTTATTCGAATTCACGTGTCCATTTAGATAAATATTATTTCAAACTTTTACCACCTGAAACTTTCGGGCAATTGATTCCCCTCAAAGTTGGGGCGTAGGACTTTAGCCCACTCCTCCTTGCTTGTCCCAAGAGTTTGCATTGCGTCACGAGTCGTAGATGACAGGACTGGTCCGACCAAAGTAAGCAGCACTTGGAACACGGAGGGTGCTATAAGATTATAATGCAATAATGTACATTGATAATGCGGCTACATTAATGATAATTAGTAATCTAAAGTTATAAGGTGAGAAAGGTTGTAAGGTGCCTGTAATTTGAAAATTAGAGACAAGTCGTTCTATCATTTTCTTCATCATTTAGTGTGGTTCATATTTATAATGGATTTTATCGCAACTATGTCTGCGTGATTGTCCCATAATCTGAAAACTAGAGTGTAGTATCAAAATAAACTTTTGGTTTGTATAAGTTTTACGTTTAAAATTTTGTACTTTTTGACCTTTAAAAATTTCGAATTTGATAAATCGCTCTAGCGTTCTGAAAAAAATATGCACAAGCTTCTGGTCGAATCGGATGGAAAACTTCCGTTGCAGCGTAGCTAATATTTGTCTCGTCAAATTCTGATATGTTCACATCATCCCATTACCAATGATCCATTAGGGGTACTCAGGTCAATTCCGCATATTTCATGTCAATTCATTTGGTCAATACGTAACAAGGAAATAGTTTACAAAGATAAGTAGCGGAAATAATTTCGTAAAAATAAAACATCTGAATTTGCTTGTAAAATTTGCAAGCAAAAATGGCGATATTTTACTGTTTTTAAAACTGCAATACTTTTAGGAATCTTACACAACTTGTTTCAAGTCTTACCTAAGATTGTCGAGACAACGCTAACTGGTAGGGTTTCTTAGCGTTAGTACTTATAAATGTAATGCTTCTACTTTGCAAGAATCAAAATCATTGAGCTGTTTATACAAAAATGTTGCTTATTGTGGGAAAACTTACTGTTAAGGGTGATCAATCTTCCGATTCCGCCCGGATAGTGGGATTCATACATAGTAGCAAACTCTGTATGAAATCGTATACATGGAACACACATGTGTTGATGACGCGTAAAATTGGCCAAGTTTCCAATTAAATTCCACTGAGTTCCGTTCATTTTTCCGCCATTTGCCAAGTTTCTGGTTATTGTGTGCACCTCGTCCACATTTTTTATGAACCATCGTATCACGTTGGGAATTTGTCCTTGTACCGCTGCCTTTCGCAAGTCCCAGTCGCCAAGTGGCAAGGCCAATACTGTTGAGGAAATTTTAGATAAGTATACAAATTTTGTACTAGTTGACCTACATACATATGTACATATTTGTATGTATACATCTCTACATTTTTGGAAATCTGGTATAGTCAAGCAGGGACTGATTTCTCGGTATTAAGGTTGCTACCACTTGGTGTTAAAATTATACCGATCCGTAAGAATTTGCTACCGATATGGCAAAACTTTAATATCCCGCTACTACATGCATACTATATTACAGTTTGGTATTATTTTAATACTTGATTTCTAAGAGTGTAGCTTTTACATGATTATTATGTATGTATGTCACTTACTGGGTAGACCATTTTTGTCTGTACCGTTGATAAAAATGGGATAGTCTTTCTGAAAACTTGACCAGTCCTCGTCGTGAATGCTGTTCATTTTATAGTCCTCCCACCATTTCACAGTCTATGAAAAAATTTGTAGGATTTGGTATGAATTGCGTGCATTTGTGAGAAGTTTAATGTACAGAAGTTTAACGTATATATATGAATGTACAAATGTATGTACCTGCATCAGCATACTATTTGCTCGCGTAACATCCCATCTACGTGCTTCATTGGCAAATAAAAATATTCATAGACATTATTTTAAAAATTGTACCATGCGTTTTGTACGATACATACACAAAAATGTGTATGTGTACTGATATTGTCATGGACACCTGTGCACTACCAAAAAACTATTAAATTATTGATATTGACTTTCACATAATTTTGATCACTAAACCACCTGTGTTACAAACACGTATTCACCATGTTTGTTTATGGTGCGATTTGATTTATTTGGTTTAAATCTTTATTTGAGTGCTAATAGAGGGCTAAATTTTTTGTACGTTTCCTAAAATCGTGCCAAAATATTTGTAAGATATATTTATATGTACACATGCTTCCCTATGCAAATCGAGCTCTCGAAAATTTGACAATTTTTGTTGCAAAAAGGATAATCCGACCCCAGTAACAAAGCACATATAAATGATATCGCAAACTTGACATCTGGGGACATAAGACGATATCGAAAATCAAATATAGATGCGATATTATTCTAATGTAATCTAGATTACATGCCACGCCATTTTGTAATAATTATGCCCACTGAAATACGTAAATATGATGTTACAAATTATATGTCGCCTGGATATCGGATTAATGAACGAAAATGTCATTCACAAGACTTTGTAATATTTCCAACATAGTTAATACATTGCAGGAACACATTATATCTACATCACCAAACAACATAGAAGGTATATCAATTCTATATTCCCCCCACACGCGCATCCACACCGCGCATTCCCCTTCAGTTTTCACCACCAGTTGTATTTCGGTCGTGCTCCAGCACATTCGCTAAATTCCGTTCCAGGTTTTGCAGAATTTATTAGCAGGTACGTAATTTTAATTGTAATGTCAACAAATATAATTGGGCGACGACGCATACAGCAGTTGGCTCGTCAACAGGCACTTGTGACGACTCGGTGTCAAAATTTGAGTGAACAATTATCTTCAACAACGGAAGTAAACGTGTCTAAGGACACTTTAACAAACTCAGAACCAAACATTTTTCTTGAACATAATTCCCTACATATATTAAATGAACAAAATAATACTTCCAGTAGTTTGACAAACGATGCTGGTACTGCGGACTCTGTACTAAATGAAGTTAAAAAGTGGGCTTTAACATCCGGTGTGAATCAGAGTCAATTAAGTTCTCTTTTAAAGATTTTGAATCAGCATAACTGTTTTAGTACTTGGCCATCGGACAGTAGAACTCTGCTTAAGGGAAAATGCTTAAGAAACTATGATATTATTGACGTATTACCAGGCAAATATGTACATTTCGGATTGACTAATTATTTAGATAGCATTGTGAAAATAAAATATACAGGACAGTTAAAATTACAAATAAGTATTGACGGGCTGCCTCTATTTAATAGTAACTCTGTGAATCTGTGGCCTGTCTTAGGGCATTTTTCAAATTTTAGCAATAGTAAACCGTTCGTCATAGGAATCTATTGTGGATTAAAGAAGCCAACCAAAGTGGAAGATTTTCTAAACTTATTCATTGCAGAGTACAAGATAGCGCGATCTAAAAATGACACTTTAATAATCAATTGTTTCGTGTGTGACACGCCAGCACGAGCATTTATAAAATGTGTGAAAGGACACAATGCGTACTTTGGTTGTGATAAGTGCTGTGTAGAGGGAAACTATTCTAATCATCGCATGAACTATTCAGACGTGGGAAGTAATCTCAGGACCGACGATAGCTTTAGGAATAAAATTGATGAAGATCATCATGTAGGGACTACTCCACTTTTACAAATAAGGGACCTTGACATGGTAAAATGCTTTCCACTCGACTACATGCACTTGGTTTGCTTAGGTGTGGTAAAAAAACTTTTAATTTTATGGACGCGTGGGAAACCGAAAACGCAGAAGTTATCAAGTTTTCAAATTAACGAAATATCAACAAAATTGGAAGGTTTCAGTAAAATAACTGCTAGTGAATTTTCCAGAAAACCAAGAACATTGAGCGAATTAGATAGATGGAAGGCCACAGAATTTCGTCAGTTTCTTTTGTATAGTGGTCCTGTCATTTTGGAAAATACTTTAGTGAAAGAAAATTATTTAATGTTCATAAGTTTATCTATATCTATTCGAATTTTATGCTCTGAAAAACACTATTTAAAATATAATGATTACGCTCACAAGTTGCTCTTGTATTTTGTTCAAACTTTTAAACGACTTTACGGCGAGGATTATATTTCTTACAATATTCACGGACTCGTTCATTTAGCTGCCGATGCTAAAAATCTTGGTGCTTTGGACACTTTTAGTGCCTTTAAGTTTGAGCACAAATTGGGAAAAATAAAGAAATTAGTAAAATCTCCTAACCGTCCCCTACAGCAAATTGTCAACAGGCTAAAAGAACAGGAATTTATTATTAAATTTTCAAGTGACAGTTATAAGCTATCAAAGTTGCATAATAATGGCCCCTTAATAAGTAAAGTGAACGATACAAAACAGTACCGGTGTTATCAAACTGCTAAACTTATAATTAATTGCGATTTTTTAAGGGATTCCTTTCTATTAACCAAGTCAGGGGAGTTAATTCAAGTATATAATATTTTACAACATACTTGTTCAAATAAAATTCAGTGCGTCGCAAAAAGTGTGAAAAATGTCAGCCCCTATTTTACCGAACCAATTGACTCATCGCTCTTCGACATTTATCGTGCTGACCTAAATAATTGTGGCGAATTAAAATTGGTGGACATCTCCGATATTATGAATAAGTGCCAAATTTACAATATTGCAGGTTCTCAAAGTGCAATATTTGGACTAATTCACGCTGAACTTAGCAAGTAAATATGTACTACATTGTTGAATTTACTGCCTCCTCAAAATTATTCGTCGAAGCTGTCCCACAGCATTGGTTCGACAACGGACAGGTGGCTTATCCAAAAACAAAAAATGCACGGCAGTGTATCAGTTCTAATAAAGTTGTGGAGCCGGCGTGGCCTCGATACCCTGCTAGGATTTTACATGCCTACCGCAAGTTTTTATCAGATTTACTAGTTTTTTGGAATTATCTTGCTTTGTAAAATTATATTTAAAAAGTATACACTTTCTTCTTACAGCCACATTGAAGGAAGCAATGGCAAAATTGAATGCAGCTGTAGAAAATTCAGATTTATCCTCAGCCGAGGGAGATGATACCAAAACTCGGACACGAAAAAATCCAACTATTCGGAACGACTTGGATTCATCGGATGAAGGTAATGCTTAAAATGATTGTAATATTTAACATTTTTTCAATGTGTTTATATGTGTAAAATATTCGAAGAAGTTGACTTATTTCGTTCTATATTTCAGAGAGGACGAAGGAGAGGACACCGCCATCAGTTCTGAGTGGATTCCCACGATTGGAGCAAGTTCGACAAGACAAGTCAATTGAAATTGAATCCATCAATGACGAAGCAGTCGCATTTGGACAAGGTGTAGATGCACGTGGAGAAGAAGTATACGCTGTTCGTAATGGTAGGTTGTGTAATAATTGACCACTTGTAATTGACATATAATTTTTATTTTTTGTTGTTAAATTTTGTAGACCAAACTACGCAAGATGATATGATAAGTCAGGCTAGTTCCAGTCAAGGCGTTGGAAATATTATACTTGAAATTCCTCCTGGGTGGGTGAATACTGGCGCTAATTTGGCGGATGGGAATGATGAGGATTTGAGTGCAACTGATCAGCAGGTTCCAGTGCTAGTGACAATTGAAAAAGGTGTATTCTTTAATCCGAATTATTAAAATAAGTCTCACAAATATTTCAATTCTAACTATTACTTGTCATTTTTAGAATTCTTGGTAAGACTCCAGCAAGACATATCCATGATTAAATACTCACTGTCGAATCTGGAGAGGAAATTTGATAATTTGTCAGCACACAATGGCATTGAGAAATCTGCTCGAGCAAGTCTTGTCATTCCCCGTCCGTTCGAAAGTTGGGAACAATTTAAGGAATTTGACGAAACTTTAAATGATGATCTTTCAGTCAAAGTGGTAAATTCATAGGAAAAATACAAGAATTCGGAATAATATATAATTATGAAGTGACAAATTTAATTTTAATATCTGTTTATATCTAGAAATTGCAGTTTGCGCGCTATGCTGAAAGTAGGCTAACAGAAAACGTGTACAAAATATTACGAAATTTGTTTACCGATCTGGCTGCCACGAAGATAAGCTTTAAAGGACAGAAGGGCAATTTCGACTTTTCCAATACCAATATGAAACAACTTGTGTTTGGTAAAAATTTAGCTTTAGTAACTATTTTGTGAGTAACCAGTATTTAAGTTTATATTAACTAAGTGTTGTTTCTCAGATTCCGTCTTTGCAAACGACAAGTATCTGAAAACTGAGAGGGATATTGAGAAGACCATCATTGCTTGGTTTCAACACGCCGGAGGACGCCTAAAGAAGCACATGACTGCCAAAAATCCTCGAAAACTTTAAAATATGTTATTATTTTGAAAACATAATTATTACTTTGCGAATAAAAAATACGCCTAATGAAATTCAAGCAAGAAACCGATGTATTTTGTATATCATATGATCATAGAATTCACATCGAAAGTCAATAATATAAGCACATTATAAAAACATCGCCGAGATATCGTACATATATAGTTAATATATCGAGTTAATGTAGAATATCTCTCTAAATGTCATGAGCTGGCGATGTCGCTATTTCGATATTGTTAAAATGTACCCTCATTGATATCGTCAAATGTTGGCCTAGAGCGAAATCTGCTCATGCTGGTGACCAAGTTTCGACTTTGTGCGACATATGGGGATATCCTAGCGACATTATTATGTAATCATTATAATGTAAATATGACATAATTTTTACATCTTTTTGTTACTGGGGGAAGAACTCTGAGATTTCGACAAGTTCAGATATACTTTTTTGCAGGAAAAGAACTATTTTTGGGGGGAGTAGGGGTCATGGAATCCTATCCTTCTTGTCTTATGGAGCATGTGGGCTGATATGGGTCACACCAGGGAGGTTGGGGTAAAGATTGTCCGAAAATCGATCACATGCTTTATGTACGGCCCCGTAATATTGGATATTAATGTGATCATCAGTACATTATTTAGAATCATTGTTACCTCTCAAGTATCGGACAAGATTTAACTCTTCTTTCATCGTCTCCCTTGGAAAAACCAAAGTGGAAATGGCATCTTTGAACTGAAAGTAATAGATTACCAGATTGCAGAAGATTTATAATTTTTACGAATCATGTAAATAAGGACATTATGTATTCGTGGAGTATGGTAAAGTAAGCAAAGTACAAATATCTATATCCGATGCACGAAGATTAATATACAACCGGCCCATATATGTATATGTATTTTACCTATTTAAATATGGATGTACATGAGTTACAATATATGAGTAGACTAAATATGTTGTATACAAATAAATAAATAAATAAAAATCTTCCTAACACAAATGAAAAATCTGTTAAAATATCTACTAATTATTTTGTTCCTACCTGATCAACTTTCCTTTTCTCAGCTTTCGTCAATGTCAAGTTTTCAAGTTGCTTTGTCACCGACACAAAAATGATTAAAACGATCAACAAAACTTGCAAATATTTCTGAGCTGCAGGTAACATTTTAATGTTGTGGAAGAAAACTAAGTTTCGTCTGATAAAATGGAATTAAAGTCGATGACCGACTACGGAAAAAGAGTGGTGGTCAAATAAATACATATTTTGCAGAGCGACAAGAAAAATAGTTCGACAAAAGGAGATCATGTCAGCGAGTCGGGGTTAAGATTTTAGCTTGCATACTTATGAACGTGTTGGCTATGCAAATTAAACCAGAGTCACAATGTTTTTTTTACGAATCAAGATAATAAATTGGCGAAAAGGTACCCGATTCGTACTTAATAAAATACAAATGTCAACGTTTTGCATACATTTTGCAATATACAATGTAAACTTGTAACGTGGTAGCAGTACACATGTGTAGGTATATGTATACATATCTACTGTACTGTTGTTACTGAAAAGTCTGCTTGGAACGCGAAAATATATGTATATATGAAATTACAAAGATTATCAAAATTGATAGGTAGAATATTTTTTTATAAATACAAATCATATCGTCTTCGCAATACATACACACACACACATTGGCTTCAGTGCAATTTATTCAGTAAACACATGGAAAGATATCCACGAGTCCGGTAAATCTATCACATCCTCATGTAATTGTAGTTATGTACTATCTCAGTATTGTGCATTCATGTAATATTATGGGGTTATTATTCATCCAACAGACTTTTACCTGAAATCACATTGCGAAATATATTGAAATCTCAGAACTTGAATTTCCAGTGCTTTAATTCAGTTTAAAAACTATAAAATTGAAATCTGAAATCTGATCTAAATCTGGCGCCAGAGTTTTTAAACTCGTACATTTTATTTAATTTATAAAATAGAACATTAGAAATTTAAGGAAAACATCGGTTATTATTTTCAAATCTTTCGTAAATAATTTTAGTCAAGTATGTAATGCTACATTTGTCTTCGAAGAACGACCCCTACCTGACTTTGTCTACCTCCCAGCCGTCACGGTTTCATTTCTCCGGGTGAAATCTTTCTGGATTATTAGCTCACCCTGCGTAGCACGGGAGCTATTGAATTCCTCTTGTCCGTCCGTCTGTCTGTCTGTTAACGAGTTTTTTGCATGAATTGATGCTAATTAAAAATCCCCTTCACAATTATTGATTATGTTAGGCGCACCATTGGTATTGAACAAACTGGATCGAATTTTTTTAGTAAATAAATAGCACAGTTGATATCTAATAATCGGTACCACAAAATGATGCGAAATAATTGGGGGATGGGATGCAAAACGCACCAATAGTACAGAATATCCGGGAGAAATGATCATACAATTTTGACAAAGTTTTCAAAATTATATAACCCGAATGGTCGCTAATTCTGCACTAATGGTGCAATGGCGGGCCGAATCTTTTGCACCATAAACGGCATATATATAATGAATATATAAGAGTTGTGATCTATTTTGTTGGCTTATTCCGCACCTTCGGTGCAAAGTTCTGTCTCAATCATTATGACAGGGTGAAAATCGATGCATATCTGTATATGGCGGCACGTGGATAGATTGTGAATTATCCATCAGTCTATATTCATGAAATTCTAGTTTTTGCCCCTATTTATGTACTACATATATACCTATGTACATACTGCCTTTCAGATTGATACGTTGCTTGTGGATGATTAGTTTATTTATTTATTGTTATTGCTAACAAGTCGACGCTGCATTAACAAAATTCCTAGTAGTTAACAAAACTTTGCATTAATTTCAAAATTGCGAATTGGCAACAGGACATATTAGAAATCCGTTGTAATATTAAACATAAACTCCTTACTCATATTCTAATTTCGATTTCATTCAAATTTTGTTGCAAAATGTGTTGCAAATGCAGTCCCCAAATTTAAGGCTATATAATTACAAACGTCGAAGAGTTACATATTTACATAATTTCGAATTATTAACAACATTCCCAGTTGGTTTAAAAATTCGTAATAAGTAACGGATTCTATCAAGCGATTCTGCTCTATCATTAGACCTATGGATTAACTTAAAATGCTAACCAAGATTTCATAATTCGATCGTGGCATACTAATATGGAAAATGCAATTATTTTGCAAAGTTCAACATATTGGAAAATTGGGGTCTAAAGTCGAGGCAGCGGCCAAATTCTAGTCCAAAATAATTTTTAAAATTATTTCCCGTGATATTTGACCAAAATTTGGACGAGTTTGAGTCAAAATCCAAAATTGGCAAATAATTCACACATTTTGGCTCAGAACTCGAAAACTGCTGGAATCACCCCCTATTTTATTACAGATTATTGATCTACTCATTTTTACGCAAATTTTAAGGTATCCAACTTGAAAATCGTTAGAGCGCGAAAAAAACACTATTTCATTGTATATATCTATCTTAAAAACTACACTGGTTTCCGAATCGAACTTCAGACGTAAATATGATAATTACGATAATTACGTCAGTAGCTCTCAAAAGATTTTAAAATACAGAAGAAACGTGTCAAATTATGTATTTGCTGTTGCATATTTCGGGGTTTATAAATGGTTATTTTTAATTTTTAATTACATTTGCGTCATGGTCATCGCCCTTGGAAACAAGCTGTTTTCAAAGGCGACTATTACAGAAAGAGCAACAACGACGAGTATGTATATCTTAATAACGTAATTATTTGTAGACTGTATGTACATAAAGAGTAAAGAAGATTGTACACAATTACACGAAACAACACAAAATAACACCGTCCTGCCGTCTTGGCTTAGAGGCTTGACCATCAGTGTCATGACTCAAAAAGCCGAGAGTTCGATTCCTCTTGAGTTGTATTATGCAGCAAAAAGTGTGGAACGAACTGGTATGGAAATACAAATTACTGTTCGGTGCCGGCAGATAATCTGCATAGGATTGTCTGGCCAAATCCTAAGATAGTTTGAATATCTCCTTATTTACATCCTATCCTGTTTCACCGTTTACCCCAATTTTCAATTTCAATAATTACTCCCTTTCCTCTACAGTACCTATCCTAGTAAACCTGACATGCCAGCCCTAACTATACCTTTGCTTGTAGTTGTTGATGTCAGTATCTATCCCTGTCTTGGTATTGGAAACGATGTGGCTCACATATCATATACCGCAGACGTAAAAGATTGAACAGAACAGAACAGAACCTTGTGTACAATTAATTTCCTTAAAGACGTGTCGTGGGAACGCTGCGTGACGATGGCGCATGTCTAACTATTACGCAATACATACTCATCCCGTCTATCTGTTACAACTGTTCACGTCCATGTGTTTTTAAAAGGGGACGTTCACATATTACGTCGTCAAGAAGCATCGAAAAGAATAAAGTGGTCATAATAAGGCACCCGATATCATGATGATCGGATACAATGCCAAAAGAAAAAACCTTGACTTGTAGAATCTATGTCCTAATTCGAGTACGGCCCATTGGACCAGACTTTTTAACCTTCGATGCTTAGCTTAAATACATACTCACTCACTCATCCTCTTCAACTCCAAATTCACTAAAATTCGTCCCGTGATTTACAAAATACAGCAAAGTGTCCATGGTGACGTAGTGATCAGGGATTTGGTCCTTCATTTAGATGAAGGACCATGCCGATTTATTTCTGATCATGTACCTCAAAAGTTTATTAATATAGGAAACAAAATTAAAAGTAAGAAATCTGGGAAACAAATTTGTTGACAAAAATTTAACTTCAATTAAGTTTTGTCTTGATTATGACTTGCAAATTGTTTTTTTGTATTACAGAAAATATTCAATTGGCCGATTCTGCTGTATCGTATTCATCTATACAAATTTCAACACCCTAAAAAATGTAATCCAGTTTTTGAATATTTTTATTTTCTTAATTTTAGCAAATTTTATAGTACATATATTTTAGCATGTTAAATGAAGGAACATGCATGTTTCATGATATATATTTTTACCCGTATTGACTAATTATTCTTAATGGTTGATTATTTTGTATGCATATTCATATGTACACTGTTAAAACTCAGGTATTGTGATGCAGGTATCCAAATATTTCTCGATATTAAGGTTATTACCGCTAGGAGTTACAAGTATTCCGGTCCGTAAAAAGTTGCCACCGACATTGTAAAACTTTAATACTGAGGTTTTTTAGCCACATATTACTTTTGTATCAATACCGCTTTGGCTGAGTGATTATACCGCTTGCAATTATTTTAATACCGGATTTCTTATAGCGTATATGCATATAAGTATCTATGCATGCATTATGTAAATATACTGAGGGTAGTCCACATCCGTGAAAACGTTTTTGACCTTTAATATCTTTGGCGCTAGTAGAAATTTTGAATTGAAATTTTTACAATTTGTTCACCTTATAGTCACCTTATAGCAAAATTTCAATTCGCTAGTCCAAATGGCGCCAGAGATATATGCATACGAAAAAATAGTGCTGTTCTAAAACTGCATAAATTTTACGTTTCAGAATATTTTTAAAACCTTCTAGAATTGTGAATTGTTTATGGAATTTTATGTTGGTGGTATGAAAATTTTTGGCATCTATGTGGCTTTCATAAATAACTCAAAATTTCCTAATTTTTTAAATTCATTTCATACCAGCTGGATTTGTACAAAAAAAGCGTGAATAAAGTTTTTTTTAGTTAAATGGAATTTTATAAATCACAATAGTTGAAATATTTTTATGTTTATTATTTTGGAAGTTAGCGGAGACATTACTGATGGTAATGCCAAAAAGATTTTGGACTACAAATGTTTAATTTCGTGTAATGGAGGTACGTGGGAAAAATTAGCGAAATTTTGACAAATTGGGGGCTGTTATAACTCTTACTCTGAAACTCTACCCAGCTATTTTTTTTATCAAATTTAAACTGCATTGTGTACTACAGACATGGGCTCACACAATTTGCTATTTCCTGGCATTTCTAGCCTATCAGCCACTGCTCCATGTCTTTTAACCGGGTAATTTATGTCTGAAACGAAAAAAACATCATTGTTTTACGGTGGGGTTAGTTGAAGGTCTGCTTTTTACACTAGAGAATTGAAATTTTGCACCCATAATGCTGACTATGTATAAGGTGAACAAATTGTAAAAATTTCAATTCAAAATTTCTACTAGCGCCAAAGATATTAAAGGTCAAAAACGTTTTCACGGATGTGGACTACCCTCAGTATGTACAAAACAATGGCGAGATTGTAAATCTGTCACTTTTCTTGGTAACGTTATGCCACTGCTACATACATCAATATTATTTTACAAATTAGGACGCGGTTAAGATGCGTTTGGTGGATTGTCAGTGTACTTTTTTCAACATTTTTTATTTATGGATCCTACCGTTTTTACTTTGTTACGAACGAAATGCATAATTTGTGTTACTTAACAATCGTGTTGCCATTTAATTTCAATTCAATTAGTGCTAACCCTGATTTACATATATGTATGCATCTGTTATTCATCCAATTTTAATGCGTTTTTTTGCATCGCAGGAAACCTTCATCTTTACCCTACAATACTTAATGATTGTTCCAGCATCTTCAGAATGCGGTTACCACACAATTTGAAGACTACATAGGAAGGAATGATCATCATTATTTTTTGGGGATCGTACTATTGCCCAGCATCGCTTGATTTCAGCATCAATGGTAGTAAAATCATATCTTGTTTAACTTTATAATATGTTGTAGGTATTAAGATATGTACTTTAAAAATTGATGTAAATATGTGAGAAAGCATTTTCAAATCTGATTATGAGGGAAGAAGTTTTTATTTCTTAAAATTATCCTAATTGTTAATTATTATCGAATTTTCAACCCTTTTTACACATTATATGTATGTAATGTAAGTCCAAATTCATCATTTAATGCATTGATCGTAAGTTTTGGATTTATTTGCCTATCTTTGCGACGTAATTTGCATATTATAGATTCTCATCCCCAATATTGTATTTATAGCAAAAAATCAACTTTAAAAACCGTAGCTTAATTCCAGATTAACACAAGCGTAATGTGTTTCTAATATGCAGCAGAGAGCTGCTTCTGGTTGTAATTTTATTTTTTTATTTTATACTTATTAGCATCATGAGCTAACTGGATATCGCCTTGGTAGCGTATGCATGTATCTAGAGATTATGGTTTTGAATTAATCTTTTCAAGCAAAATTAATATCACAGCGTCAGAATATTGTAGGCAACGAAAGGCTGTGTGTCGGTTAAAAAGCGTTGTCTGCTTTTTCAAGAGCATATTTTGCTGCAAAAATCGCTTTTGCGAATGTGATACATTTAAGTATTTTGCAATGTCCTGTTGTGTTCTTGCAAACTTTTTTAATTCTTTATACACCGTTTCCTTTTGAGCGGTCGCTCATTCCACAATTTTGGAACGTGCAAATTTATGCAATTCTCCTACCAAGTGTTGGATTATATTGTGCAGATGGCTGTCGTTGATTGGTATTCGTACTACCTGATTCGAAGTTAGCCGCTCCCAAATAACGCAATGTCTCCGTCATGTCGTTGTTATCTATGTCAGCTTCATGAAGCCCGTTGTAACGAGTACTTCTGATGAATATTGTTTTTAAAATACAACAGGAACTATTTCCTGGGTAGAGTTTAAAACCTGAAGCATATGTACGTATCTATTAAAATTTTATCCGAAAAATTTTAGGGCTCCGTAACTCCTATGTCCAACATATATTCTAAACTATGTCCGTGGGTTGCCGCTAATGGTAGAAATGTTTTAAATGGGGCAGAGTTCCAGGACGTTCCGGAAAATAATATTCCAACCATGCGTCCATTGTAGGGACAACCACACTATCGACAGAACCTTTATACACAGCTATCCTGGTTGTGACATTGTTAACCTGTAAGACATTAAGCCCATTATAGTGGAAATGGGAATGTTATAGAGACCAGATATAAGGGGGTGGGGAAAGTTAAGTAAACACTCACCACCAAAGATAATCTGTCACTATTACAATACTCTAGTATCCCATAATTATAGAGTACCAAACATTCATTGCCAACTGCTGAGCTGTAGTTTGTGGCCGTCGATACTGCAAACTGGTAGTGTAACGTACCCGTGGAAGGACAGGAATTGATTGTACTAGGAGTAGGTGGCAATGAAAGACAACTTTGTAACTGGAAACCCTTATTAGATGTATTAGATGCATTAGATTACCTGTATTAGATGAATTTCTACTATAGTAGAGTCATATTATTTCAATTGTTAAAAAAAAATTATTCACATTATAAGTATCGAGCTTATTGGAGAATATTGGTACATGATAATTAGGTACTTCTTTCCTGTTGTGCGTAACACTTTAGACTTTTTAAACCAGTTAATAATCATCTGTGTTGCCTGCTTCAACCTTGTATACCCACACACAGTCTTTCATCGTTTCATGATATCCTTTTTAGTAACTAATATTTAAATAGTCATTAGTAGAATTACTTCCGCTAAATTGTCATCTCCATACACATCTGGTAGTCTTGTCAACATGCATCAATGGGTAAATATTGCAAATGCTTGTAGAAATTATAATAATGATATCTAATAAGAACTGATAAATAATATCCATAATGGGTTTGGCGATACCCATGAAATTCGCAGGCCCATGCATCGCGGCCCCTTGCTAACTTAACTCCATGCTATTTCTTTCTTCCTTAGTAGAAGCAATTTGTTGCCTTGCACACTAATATAGTTGTGCAGTCAGATAGTTTGCCCATACCCTATTAGAATAAATGAAATTGGACGCAATGTTCTTATCGTGGTAAATGGGTGATCTGATAACGATCTAGTAGAAAGCTTCTAAATCTCTTCAAAGTATATTGGAAGATATAACATATAAAGGGTACGATCTTCGTCATCGCGATTCTTAGCAGCATGTCATGATTCATCGTGACGTCACTTTTGTCAACTCAATATGTGTCCAAATGTTATACCACAACTCGACCCCAAACAGAGCTACGTCTACTATAAGTCCTACAACAGGCAAAGAAAAGCTTGCAATGGTTGCAATAATGTCCAATGAGCTAAGAGATATTTCTACTATAGCATCTCGGAGAACGTGGTTTGGTAATTGATGTAGCCTATTTTCCAACCAAATGGAAAAATAGAATTAGGCGTGTGACCTTAATCGTCACTGAATGTGTTCTACGCTGGGGGAGTATAGGATGGGGAATAGCTACCAAACGCCGTTTATCCTTCGTACAAAGGCGCATTGACAAACGCATCTAATTCATAAATATTTATTATCATATTGAATGTTTATAACATGAGACTTCTGAATATTGAATGTTGATAAGATGTATCAGACCGGTGTAGTTATTGGATATAAAGTCCAAAGCCGTTCCGAGGTTATGGGTGACGATGATTGATGAATGTGGTAACTCATTGTAGGCCACCATAGCCTTAATTGGGATTTGCGATAACTTCGATGGTAAGAAGTTATTTTTTAAGAAAGCCTGTCAACAATATATATACTTAAGAAATCAATTATGCATAAAAATAACCCCGAGAACAGTTGTACATTCATTAATTTGTTGCAAATAATGTAGTGGAATTCCCTAAGGAAAAAAGGAAAAGAAAATCCCTGATAAAATAGTAGTTGATAAAATGAAATGTGTAACGAATTTTAACGGGATACAGACGTTTCATCCCTACGTCCTTTTGTGGGAGTTATAAAAGTTATAAAAGAGGCTGTTAGAGCAACCTCATATACTGGCCAGGTGGGACCATACCTTCCTTCTATGCCACTAGGTCAATTAAACCTGGAAGTCCCAGTTTTTCTTTCTAGCATAACCATAGATTGGGATCCCTTGAATGTCGGTCCCTTGAATGTCGGTCCCTTGAATATACTGTTGCTCCTGGGGATACTGAAGGCACTATAATGTCCATTTATAATATCCTAGATGATAGATCATGATGTGATATTCTAAGCTTCTATTCGATTTTCAGGTTTTGGTCGTTTTTGCATGAAATTTTAATTTTAAACTATCTCCATCCCCAATACGGTATTTCTGGGGAAAATCCGCATTATTACATAAGTTTTCTTTAATGTAGGGTTTCTCCAGAATAACACCTTTTAGTAATAAGACAGCTTACCCTTATTAAGGTTGGAGGAAATTGTTGAGTTCAGAACCAAATTAGTTATGGGAACTAAAAGTCAAAGGAATTGGTGTCGAGAGTTTTCGTAGTGAAAGTGACTCAGGTTGCAATTTAGAAAATTGTAACCAGAGTCATATGTACACATGTATTATAGCTGCAGCGCAAATATGTAATACATATTAACATATAAATCGTTTCAATATATATTTGATTAGCATGTTAAATATCAATAAGAAATTTAAATGTATTTAGTTCGTGAATTTATAGACTTAAATACGATTAAAATTTACCCAAAGTTAATAAAAATTTGACATAGTGTAAAACGTTTCCCACGTACATAGAATGTAGTCCAAACCTGGAGTAAATCTTATCTAAATGTATGCATCGTTAAAATTCAGCATCTTCTTGTAGTATCTTAAAGTTTGTTTTGCAAATATTTAATATTTAGAATGCATATGTACTAATAAATATATGTGTACAGTTATTTTGTTAACCTAATCATAATAAACTTCAAATGTATACTGAAAATCTTGGTCCACAAAAATGGTTGTTTTATTCAAAATTGCTATAATTTAGTTATTTAAATAATGCCTTAATAAATACATGATTGATAAACAAAATAAGAGGTTTACTGCGACATGTCAAACTTTATGTATTTATGTATGTATCTATATGTGAATGCATACATACATATCTACATAAATCATTTGACAAGTCCAATCTCAATTGATGGAGATGAATGCGTAATTTCCACAAGATACGTCATATTTTCCAGGTCATAAGAAACAGTACTGCCGATAATGAACTAAATTAAAACCTTTCCATCCCAATCATAAGTAAGTCAGTTACATCACTCTTAGAAAACTGGGTAAGTCATACAAATATGTACACAACCCGTGATGGTATTCATTTGGTGATCACTTGTCCCCGGGTTGGTAATATTTTGATTCCAAGTGGTGATTTATCATCACCACAAAGGTGTTTATTTTTCACTGTATGGTAATGCCCGTTATCACCGCGCCGGTTAAGTCATTCCATTTAGTGATGATTCAATACCGTTTTGCTAAGAGCGTATCTATATTAGGTATAACTCGCAATACATATTCACTTTAACAATAGAAAGATAATAGTAGCTGATTTTTTTCGTTTCATTCGACTGACACAGGTTGCAACCTATTTAATTCTCGGTGTATGTACATATGTAGTTGACTTGGTGTCGCATTCATACTTACGTGTTTTCTGTAGTTTAACAGCATCTCACCTTGCAGATAACATGGGCTCCATAATTTTACTATATGTATGATAAATATGCCTGCCACGAATGGAGGCATGACCTAAATACGCATACATATGCACATTCGTACTTCACTTTTGGGATGGCACAACTAAATTACATATTCAACTCCTGAAATCACAATTAAATAATTAATATTCGCATTTTTATATCTCAATTATACGTATAAACACGGTAAATATATACTTACAAGACATAAATTTTTATACATATACATAGTCATGCATACGAAGAATGTGCGTCTGGAAATAAATGAAATCATGTTGCATTGCACGAAGACACATCTCCAATATTGGAGAACTGTGAAAAGTATCTCCAATGCAATGTTCAAGACTTTTTTCTTACTTTTGTAAACACATTCATTCGTTTTGCATATTCATACTCTATTTACGACGATATGTACATAAATACATGCATATTTACTTCAAGTATACATTCATAAGTACCCATAACCTTCCGGGCACATATGTACATTACATATACATATAAATGCATTCCTTTGTGCTACGCGTATCTATGTATGTACATACATATTTGCTTGAGTAAATGTGCCACGGATAAACTGATCAAATACACGCCGATATGATGCGCCCAATTATGGGTATGTGTACATATTTATTCCCTTCCCTCAAATTTTACCAGTTAAATAACGCAACAAGGACACGACAATTGGTTATGGCATTGGCAGGGTTACGAATACGTGTTTTTAGAGCAATGTTTTTTTCTCAGTTTATATACTATTTTTTCTGCGAGCTATGGAATAATGAAAAAAAACATTGTCCTTCTCATAAGAGAAGTAAGCTTCAGATGTACATATGTATGTAAGCATGATATAATTAACAGCAATCAATTTACATCCTACGTTAGAAGCTCTCAAAAATTATAAAATAAAGGAACAAATTGGGCAAATTATTTACCAGTTTTGTCCTAACACATTTCATACACTTTTATTTTAAATTTTAATTATGTATCAGGCTTATAGCACTTTGGAACAAGTTTTTTTCAAAGGTAGCTATTACAGCATGATCAACAATGACGGATATATACTAATTAATAACATATGTAATTATTCTTACGATTAGTTGAGTATGAAAACAGTATGTACAGAGTTACACCATAACATAAAACAAGCTTATGTAAAGTTATTTCCTTAACAAACGTGTCGTGGGAACACTATATACTTACGCGATTATAGCGCATGTCTAACTATTACGTAATACATACTCATCCATTCTTTCTGATACAGTTTATCACGTCCATGTGTTCTTAAAAGGGGACGTTCTCGTATGATGTCGTCATAAACTATCGAGAAAGACGAAGGGATCATCATCAGAAACCCGGTCTTACTTGAGTCTAACGCAATGCCAAGAAAAAAACCTTGGCTTGCAGAATCAATGTCGTAATTCGAGAACGGACCCTTGGACCAGACTTTTTAAGCCTCGATGTTTAAATGTACACTTTGCTAACTCACACATCCCACTATGGGCCAGGGGCCAAAGATGTGGCCTTTAAGGCAGTACTTTGAATTGGCTGCTCTTGTATACCATTTTGGACTACACTACCATGTTGTTCTAAATGCAAAATATTAAGTGAAAAGTTACACCCATTCCGGAGAACAAGGGGGGTAAACTTTCCCAAACACATTGCGGAGATAGGGAGAAACGCCCTTTAGCATTTCCGTCCATTTCCGTGCTTTACGAACTTGCCTCTTATACCATTCGAGAGCTTCTGGGGTGGAGAATAAATGCTGGTGCCGGAAATTGCCACTTTCGATCACAAGTGAAACCACACCCCTTCCAAGTCACATACGTAACTAAATAAGTAATGAGCTAAATTGATTTCATTTAACGGCATTCTCAGTTAAAATCATCATGCGACTTATCGATTTGATGGACAAGATACGTGGGTTTTGACTGCCCATCCAGATCCAAAAGCCACTATCAATGGGGTGTGGCTATACATATGTAGGTGCCCCACATTATAATGTGGGGCACCTATCGCCACAATCTTGACAGTTGAAAGTCGGATTACTTTTCAAATTATTGACCGATTTTCAAATTTGTAACTGTTTTGGAAACCTTAGGTAAATGGGCGAAATATAAATTTCCAGATTTTTCAAATTCGACCACACCCCCTCGAAATTAAGGTAAAAAAATTATAAAATATAATTAACGAATACCGCTAAATTTCAGACTAAAAATCGAATTTCTTGTCGAAAAATACCTCGACACCGTGGGCACTACCAGCCGTGTTCAAACAGCCACATGCCACACTCCCAGTGGGTGTGGCTCTCGGAGACTTTTTGATTTTAACGAAACCATGTCATGTGACATATCATTTTTCTCAAGGCGATGAAGACATTACGACTGAATACTTAAAATTTACGAACCACACCCCCAGTGGGTGTGGTTCTCAGAAAGTTTTTGATTTTAATGAAACCATGTCATGTGATATATCATTCTTCTCACCCTGATGAGGAGATTTCGACGGACTAACCTAAATTTTAAAACCGCACCCATAGTGGGTGTAGCCCTCGGCGACTTTTCGATTTTAACGGGACCATGTCATATGATGTATCATTTTTCTCAGCTCGACGAGCTGGTTTCGACGCAATACCTAAGCTTGGGAATCCGTACCCCCCAGTGGGTGTGGTTCTAAGTAAGTTGTCGTTCTTGACGAAACCATATCATGAGATGTATCATATTTCTCATCTCGACAAGGTGGACTCGACGGAATACCTAAAACTTGCAAACCGCGCCCCCAGTGGGTGTGGATTTTAGGAAATTTTCGATTTTAATAAAACCATGCCCCACTGGGTGTGGCTCTCGGCGACTTTTCGATTTTACGTCATTTGATATATTTATACTTTTTCTTAGCTGGACGACGGGATCTCGACAGAATTTTTAGAATTTTGAAACCACACCCCAGTTGGTGTGGTGTTCAGCGACTTGAAGCTGTTTTCTCCGATTTTAAATTTCCCCCACACCGAAATAGCACCGTCTGTATTATTTTGTTTCGAATTGTATTTTATTATTTTTTGAATTTCCATGAAAGCTCGTGTTTTCCGTTGTAGCGGTTTTGATTGCATTTTCAGTTCAAATTTAAATTTGTCAACAAGTTTTGTTTTATAATTTTAACGCTATATCAAAAACGAAAGAACTAAAACATTTTCTCAAAAATTACTAAAAATAAAATTGTCAAAATACGTTTCTAAAAATTTAAAACTTTGTATGCGATTTCGTAATTTCGAAAAATACAGCAAGAAATTGTTAAAAAATACAATTGTTGAGAGTTGGATTTTCTCAATTTACATAATGCAATTCTAATTATTTTGTCGAAATCCCCTCATTTCGTTAAGATAAATGATATATTAAATGACATGACATGGTTTAGTTGAGAAAAATGATATATCACATGACACGGTTCCGTTGAAACCGATAATTTTCTTAGAGCCGCACCCACTGGGGGTGTGGTTTAACAAATTTAGGTATTAAATCGAAACCCCGTTGTCGAGCTGAGAAAAATGATATATCACATGACATGGTTCCGTTAAAATCGACAATTTGCTTAGAGCCACACCCACTGGGGGTGTGGTGCCAAAATTGTAATGCTTCTGTCGAAATCCCCTAGTCGAGCTGAGAAAAATGATATATCACATGACATGGTTCCGCTAAATTCGAAAAGTCGGCGAAGGCCAAACCCCCTGTGGGTGTGGCATGCGAGTCTTAAAAATTTTCTCATATAATATATGCCTTGGGTTATCGTTTCACACCAAAATCTAATTCTTGTTTCTTCAAATTCGGCTTCTATATATTTTTGGCCAAAATTTATTAAATCTGGCCCATAGTGCATCCTCTTCAACTGCAAGTTCTCTTAAATCCGTCCAGTGATTTGCAATATACAGCAAAGCGGATATTGTAACGTAGTGTTGAAGGACGTGGTCCTTCATGTAAATGAAGGACCATGGCGATCTGTTTCTGAATATGTACTCAAAGTTTCTTATTTAAGAAGGATTCTAATACACAAAATTTAAAATAAATTTGGCAACTTTTCTTGACAGAAAAATTTAATACATTTTAAATAAGTGCATCTATTTAGTGTTACGAAGTTAAAAAAATGCCGCTTGAAATACCAAGCAAAAGAAATATACATACACATACATACATAGACCACAATTATATGTACGGATATTCGTTGCTTATTAATTTATCCATAAAGTAAGTTCCTCATAA